ATTTATTTATACCCCGCCTATCTAGTCATTTCGACCACTCTAGGCAGCTTACAACATAAAGGATAACAAGTTCCTATTTCCTACTTATGCCATTGATAGACTTCCCTGTTGTGTGTGAAGAGTGCCACTTTGCCTACAGAAGGATTGACTTGGGAAATGAGTTCACAGATATATCCCTTTTTATTTAAACTAGAACCTGTTTACATTGGAACCTGCTAAACCACTCAATGCCTCCATGTTTGTTGCATTACCATTCCTTAACCATTTGGGTCTATCTGTTTATAAATAGTTATGGGATGGTAATGCAGATAACATGGAGGCATCACATGGTTTAATAAGTTCCATTTTAAGATGAAAAGGGATCTAAGAGGTTTACCTTGACTGGCCAAGCTAACAGTGGTTTCCCTTGAGAAGTGACATCCGGAAATTACCAGCAATGACTCAATTTACCTTGAGAATCTGTTCATTCTTACAATCTGGTCAAGCACTAATTCTAAACAAAGCACAAAGGTTGCCCAACAAAATGCAAGGTTCTTCATCTCCAGGACACAAATCACACCTAGCTGAGATGTTACCCCAAATATCATAGCCTAGAAGTTTATCCATTCATCATCTCATTTCTGCCAAGATATGGCTGCATTACACAAACTCAGCTAGATCTTTTGACTACATCTTCCTCTTGGCTTTTGCATTCAGTAGCCTTTACATCTTGCTAGCCTCTTTCCCTTAGATGCCTATCTCTGGTGAGAAGAGAAAAACACACAGTTTCTGTGCTAATCACGCTTCAGAAAACATTTGCAAAAGGAAGGTCAACAAATTAAGAGTAACACTGGCCATAAATGACCACTCTGCACAACTAGTAATCTATGGATGATTACTAGTTTTTGTAAAAGTTTTATAGAACATGATGACAAAGACAACAATGGATAGTGCAAGCTGTGACAAATAAAATTACAGTACAGAACACTTGTGTTCAGGCTCTTGACTAGCCAGCCAGCTCAAGAACTTCTGCACTTTTTCTATAGCAAGAGACAAATTTCAGCTGCAGGTGACTTTATGAAACAGAGAGAAGTCATTGCTCCTTTCTCTTAAATGGATGTGATCACATGGGCAAATAGATTGTAGTTGGGCCACTTGATGTGATCTATTTCCCACCAATCACACAATGTACAGGAAATGTGCTCCAGCCTGATCCCAAGCTGAGTCATTTTGGTCCAGCTGCAGGGCTGGAGCAGAATGGAACAAATCCTGGACCAACAGAAAGGTTACTTGAAGGGAAATCACTCCCTGCAAAGTAAGCCTTTCTGGTGCAATCAGGTATGCATCTTTCAGTCCATCTGATCACATCATTCAGGAATCAGCAAATATCTGTTATAGGTAACAGAAATTCACTCTGCTTGTCTCCCTTTTGAAACCACACCTAAATAACCAGTTTCATGGCATAACATCTGACCAAATGTTTCAGCTTTTCTGTTTCATTCTTCATCCCCTTTTTGTCCCCTATTGAGCCTAAGGAAGAGTTCATGGGAACCTGGAATTTGCACACTTTCATGGCTTTGCAGTTGAGGAAATAAAGGTATTGTCCAGATATGGATTTTGAACCTCACCTCCCCTGTGGATCAACAAAGCTATTTTGGGGCTTTGGAAAGAAACACATACAACCATTCAGAGCAGACTCTATCACTAGAGAAACGTTATCTTCTACCCCTGAAAGAAGGATTTCGCAGTCTTTTTCCAACCACTGGGCAATGTCATTTAGAGGTGGATGAGATCTCTGAAACTTTCCTCAAACTGACACAAGTTTGTTTTCTGAATTTTCCAGAGGAAAGAGGGTGAGCTATCTAAGGTCTTAGAAAAATGTTAATCCCACCCTTCATCAGCCCACCTCACTCTGCCAGGCGCTTCAAAACCGATTTCTCCACATCTGTTTGTTTGCCTAGAAACAGGTTCAGATGAGAATAAAAATGGAAGGACATGAAGAAAAGAGATGTGGGGGGAATTTTACCTATTTTCTTTCTCTTGTCCCATTGTACTGCCTAACGTTAGGACAAGAAACAGGGGATTACAGGAGACATCGTTCTTCTTCTCATGGTTCCCTATGCCTCCACATGCAGTTAGCCAGCAATATGGAGAAATGGAAAAAAAGGAATAGGAGGAAAAGCTACTTTTCTTAATCAGGTAAAAAAAAATTGTGGAGTTATAAACTCACCTCTAATTTTGCGATGTGTCTAACAGCCCCCCAAGGTTCTTTTATGAGCCTAGCTCAGGGAAGTTGCACTGGCATCAATAACTGTAATATTGTACCAAATGGTACTTTGGACCTTTCTCTTCCCCCCTTTTTTTTAATTAAAGGTTTCTTTTTGCACTTTATATAGCAAGAGTGTGTGCGCATGTGTCTCTGGGAAGATAACAGTTCTGTGAATACAGGAGAATTTTGTTTTTTGACCAACCCCTCTTTAAATAAAGCAAAAAATATCATCTGCATTTTTGTGTCTTCTCTAAAATGTCTCCCACAGTCAGTATCTTGTGAAAGCAAGCACCACACGCTCCCAGGCAAACGCTCAAACAGTTGACTTGTCCAAGATCTGGTAATAGACTGAGCAATTTTGGGCAAGTATTTACAATCCCAATACTTGAGGAAACTTCTGAGACTTCTGTAAAGAAGTGATACACACACTGAGACCTACAGAATGGTACAGAAGCTGAAGCAGGCATGTGGTAAAGCAAAAATTTTATTGCAGTAAGAGGAGTTTAATATAGAATGTCTGCAATACCATTCTGGCTTATTGAGTGGAGAATCTGTGGGATCGTTCATACCATCTGCACTCAGCAGGGACGGGTTGCTGAGAAAAGTTAGCAAATAAAAACAATAAAGAAAGTAAATGAAAATAATATGCAGAGTGATAAAAATAGGGAAGCCAGAACTCTAAACCAGTTGGATTTCAGTTGCCTCCACTGTTTCTTTCTACATAGAAATGTGTCTTTGCTATGGTTATATTTAATGAAATGTGATTGTAAGAACCTGGCCCAGGTGAGGGGATGCTATTTGCTTGATGGAGGCTGCAATTCACAAACCACTTAATCGGGAGTAGTCGTATTTAGTTCTGTGGGGTTTGTGCAATGTGATGGTAGTTTTCCAATACAGATTTCATTTGCAAAGGTAATAGATAATTGTCAGTAAACTGGAAACTCTGGAAGAAGCAGTTCAACTTTTTGTAGCTTTGCAAAATCTCACACTATTAAATTATACATAATGTAATGGGAGGTATACAGCCTTGTGAGATCTTTATATTAGAACATATAATGAGAAACTTTTCAGCAACCCGTTTCTTATTTATCTTATCATTATTTTTTAAAGTGCCCTGTTTTTCATTTCCTAACTTTATTCTGAAGACCATATACAACATTTAAAAAAAATCATCCTGAAGAAAATTAAAAATCAAATTTATGTTAGTTTTAAAAAGGCATAAAATTAGTTGCTTATTTCCCCAAACATATGTTGGAATAAAAATACATACTTCTGGTACAAGAATATATACTTTCTTCCTAAATATTGGATTTAGGAAGACTTTCTTTGAGATCAAGTCCTTTTAGCTATTGTACAACAGAAATACTTTAACTGAGAAGAACCTGGTCATTTCATAGCTAGATCTCTTCTCCTGGTTTTGTGGGCCTTTCCTGATGTTCATAAGCTTGCAAAAGGATGAACATCAATTACTAGATCCTTGCTCTCAAGAAAGGGGCAAAAATGGCTATCAATTAATAAAAAGCATTTGGAGAAATGGGTAAAATACAGACATCCAGAACTAACATAGGATCCAGAAACTCTTCAATTCATGCCGTGTTGTGTAAACAAGGAAGTTCCTTCTTTTCTTGAAAATACAGGCCACCTGCAAATATCACCTCCGCTTTTATCTGGATTCACCTGCAATTTTTCTGTTTTCATAAATTCTGTTTTCATAAATTTCCATCCAGAAATGGGATCACCGGTGACAGGGATATGTAAACATTCAATATCTCCTTAAAGGTGCATTCTTATGAGTAAATTTGCATGGGTCTCACTACTAACTATAGCCAAGACTGTAGTGTTACATACATACTCACCCATAACTTGGAAATATTGCCTTTTTTTACTTCATTTCCCAGGAGTTCCTAGTCACCATACACAGTACTGGGGAATTCTGGGAGTTGTAGTGAAAAAATAGCTTTCCCAAGCTCTATACCTAGCCTGTCCTTTAAAAATAAAATCCTCTCCCTTTTAGCCTTGATTTTTATGTGGTTAATTTTAAACACAGTGTGTGCAATTCTGTCCTCTCATTCTGTATGAGAACTTCATGTGGCTTATTTTATGACCTAATACTAAAGTTTAGGAAAGCTTTAAAAAAAATCTTCCTAATGGTCTATTATATTCAGTATGTGGGTGAGGGAGGAGAATCTAATGTAGTGTAATGAAAGCATTGCTTCAGCACTAAGAAAACAAAGAACAGTGATCACCACTTTCCAACACTAATGGAACTTCAAAAAGTTTTGAACTCCCGATCATTAGGATTTTAAGGCTGCATTTTAGAAAAAGAAAGGATAGATGGAGGGTTTGAACCCAAAACACATGATTTTTTTTAAACATATGATGAAAACATAAGGGTTTTGTTATGGTGCATACAACAGCCAAGAAACTGTTTCCCCTTAGCAAGCTTCTAGAAAGTATCCTCCATATAATTATTAAATGAAAACACTCACTTACCCAGTACTCAGCTTTTAAATCTTGAATAAGAGACGTTCACTCTGAAAGAGGTACTTACCACGTTTCCATGGATACTGGATGATGCCAATCAGGTCCATGTTTTTATCTGAAAGTGGTACCCTGCAGAGAAATAGAGTTTGGTGAGTAGCTGTTTATGTGCGGTAAGTAAATAGGAATAAATAGGAAGCTTGTTTATTTGACAAAAGGTCTGTGACCCAGACTCCCCCCACCATACCCCCATTCTCTTTTTCTCTCCAAGCCCTCTTTAACATAATAACACAGGGGCATGGCATCAAATAGTTTGCAGTTTCCTGCCAAATTCATGAAGATCAAGACTTGATTAGTCGAACAGCAGCTTAGTTGCCTGGCATTTTGTCCCTGATATGACCTTGCATATATACAGTATATGGATAAGATATGATGGAAAATTATTGGTTTTCTTTTTATTCCAAGTAGACCTCTTCTCTTAAGATGTGGGGGCCATGCAGGAGAGAGGGAGGGAATACACAATAATAGGGGAGATAGTAATGTCCTTACCTTAATGAATCTATTCAGGAGAAAAAGAATGTCCAGACTGAGCACCAAGGAGAAATGTGTTTCCCTGAACATTAGCAACACTGGGATCTTGAATCTGTCTGATTCCCTTCATTTCAAAAGCCTCTGTGGCGGAAATTTGTAATTCTGCCATGCCATTCCTTAACAAGGCATACTTTCTAATCTGGGGAGTAAGATTAGTGAATCGATTGTGAGAAGTTTTATGTTTCTAATATTTCTCAGGCTAAAAGAGTGAAAGAGAAAGCAATCCACTTTAAATACTTAGCCCAGTTTAATAACCTGAATGATATGTGCTCTGTTGCCACATTTTGGAAAAAAAGTTTCCTTCCAACCTCCATTAAAAAGACAAAAAGTTGCCTTGTTCTAAAATTATTATTGGAAATGTAATTTTTTAACCTTGCTGTAAAGGAAGATTTTTCCACACTTCTTTAAAATTTTGACCATCTGAAAGTCATTTCACTTTGTTTCCTCTAAAGGAGTGATTTTTGGATTAAGCTACTGTTTTGCTCTTTGCTAAATGAACTTACAGTGTGCTTTGTGGAGATTGTAATTCTATGTTCCTTTGCCAGAGCTGACAAAGGTCTGGTTGTCAGTGATACCTTTTACAGCTAAATTTACCCTAGACTGACAGGAGCAGGTGGCCCAAGGCCTGCCAGACACTTGTGCATGGAAATCACGCAACTAACAGGTCAACAGCAAAGGGGAAAAAGCCCCTGCCTTCCTTCCAGAGGGTGAGTGAGGCAAGCAGAACCCAAACTGGGGGGTTTCTCTTCAAAGCCAGCTGGTCTGGCTTTATTCTACAGGAATTTTTTACCTGTCAGTTTAATCAACGAAGCCCTCAGCAGGTGCTGACGGGTACATCTTCCTGGAGAAGAAGGGCACTGGTGAGTTTTAAGAATTAAAAAGAAATTGTTTGTTCTTTTTTTAAAAAAAAAAATCTGTATCTATAAATGTGTTTGAAATGGAACTGCTAATCTCTCTATAGAATAATGCCTGGGTCCAAGAAGCACAGGTAAGTTTTCTAATAGTTTATATTGTAAAGAATGCCCATTTGGTAAGATATCTGTTCCAAATAATTTATTTCGGAAGCAAGAAAGTTTCAAAATCTTTTGCTATTGAAAAAAGATCTTTGAAGACCTTATGCAGATGAATTCAATGGGAAGGACAATATTGTGGTTTGCCTACCCATCTGAAAATTGCTTCCATTTTTATTTTGAAATAAGCAGTTGAAAATGATAAATTACTTTTCCTGGTCACATTCTACCTATATTGTTTTTTTGAGGGGAGTCCCCCTGATCTGTACATGCTTTAGAATGTCCTGTTGAAATCCATATTAGGGATAGGTTTTCAATTAAAGGAACACAAATATGGAAAACTTTAAATTTTAAAAATGTTTAGTTACTGATTATGAGATAGCCATGTGAAACTGCTGCTACTTTCACTAACACATTAACCTGGGACAACAATCATGTAGGAAGATAACTGTGATACACACACACACACACACACACACACACACAGTCATCACTTTTAAGTGCAATGTATATTCAGTTGTGTTCACAATTGTTACTTCTGTAACATCGCTGAGGTTTTCTGGTAAAGAAAATAGGACAAATGTTTTGGGACAATCTTATTTTAATTACAGCAAAGATGTGGCGGAATACAAATACTAAGGTGTTTTTAGGGTGGAGCAGAATATTTTAATGATTAATTTCTCTTTCCACACACTTGTGCTTTTAACTGAGCTTCACGGCAAATCTTACAAACTGTCAAACAAATGGAAATCGTTCCTGTAAACAAGCAATCATTTTTTCTGTGGTTTTTTTTTAAAACCCAAGATTAAATCTGTGTACAAAATGAACATATGAAACTGCTTTTAGCAACCAGATTCATACTGACATTCTTTCTGGCACGCAAGTTGAAAGAGCACAGAACAACAGATAGATAATTTATGACATTAATTTGGCACTGGAGGTTATTCTGATTGGAAAAAATAAGAATAATTTTTCACAAAGCCCAGGAGGTTTTTTAGCCAGTATTGTTCAACTATTTTAAAGAAGTTTCATGTATCAAGCATGTATGCAAAGTGCATTGGTATGTTCTCCTCTGTCTGACACAGAAAGGTCATGAGATATTAATCTCAAGGGAAACAAATTCAGGGTTTAACCATCTCTAGGTCAGATTGCATGACAAGGCAAATGCATATTTTATCTCCTTTCAATGTTACCCCTTCAGACTCACAAATCTTTCATGCCTGTGTATCTGGACACTGAACATGTAACCAAAGCCATGCTATCTCTCAGTTGAGCAACTGTGAAACAAAAGCAAGGCAATTTGCCTAATATGAATTAAGCCAAGTATGTATTAGTATCAACAGTCTTTTCCGCTTAAGAGTGCACTTCTTCTGGACATGGGATCAGCGTCTTGGCTAGTTAGACTCTCAGACTTAACAGATTTCCTTAAAAGCAGAGACAAACAATTTCCATGGATGTTATTTCATCCAAGAAAGTACTGTTCTGAATTACAGTGTTAGTCTGCCTGTTCTTCTGCCTTATTCTTTCTGCCTAAAAGCAAAACGGAGAGAACAGCTGATTTGTCTTTATAACTGTCTTAAACCATGCAGCTGCCCAGGCTGAATACCAAGCAAAGGAGCAGGCATTTGCAAGAAGCATTTACAATTTGTGAACTATCAATGAAGGTCACTAATTCTACACAATGCTGCAAATTCTGTCCAGGGAGGTAGAGGAGGGGGAGGCAGATAGCATTATTTGTAACTCAGTAACTCATTCCAGGAAACTAAACTTCTGATATCATTCCTCTGATAAGGACCTCAGGCTACAGTTACGTACATCCTAATTTGGCAATTAGTCCCATTGAAGACAGTGGGACTTACTTGTGAATAAATGTGCATAAAATTTTGCTGCAGTCCTAATGATCTGTATCCCCAGAGATTGATAAAAACTAAATATGTAGCAGTCTAAATTGTGTGTTAAATGGGTGAACCCTAGGCTATGATCCTAAATAGATTTAGGCTGCATCTTCCCATAGAGGCTCATGGAAAAGCAAATTTCACTGAATTAAACTTTAATTGATTTACTTCTGAACCAACCTGAATAGGAGGGCACATTGGTCTCAGATATTCTAGCTCATTCTTTGGAAATATAAATAATTATTAAAAAGTTTTAGAGGTTCCCATAAGACACTGCAGAATTGCAGTGGTTTAGCAAAAAAAAAGTTGGACTTTGAAACAACATTCTGCCGCGTGCGCCCCCCCCCCAAGTTATTTCATTTTGGTTTTATGCAGTCTAGGCACCTGGCCATCTGTTAATACAGCTCATTCAATTAAATCTTTGTAGAGAAAGGTTTTATCTTCAGTTCCTTCTCTTTTTTTCAAAGAAGCCTGCTTTGTTGTATCTGAAGTAGCAAATATTTATTATTCAGTATAAGTAAGCATGAATTCCCTATAAAAATAATTGCAAAAGTTACTTATTTTCACCTTTACTAACCCTTGTCATCAGCTTTAGCCATTGTCGCTATATTTTTAAATGTAATTGAATAATATCTTCTTCATTTTTAAAAAGTTATGTTCCTAATGATTAGCCTAGCATTAATAGGCTTCATATCATTCTGTACACATAAGTAACTTCAGTGTTAAAATGTGATCAACATTGACTCTTTCCTTAAATATATGCTCAGTTGAACATGAAACATAATGATTGCAATATCTGTATCTATCTATGATGAGGAAATCTTGGTTGTGGAGAGTTGTCCCAAAGGAAATTGAGTCCTGTTCCATTCTCTCAGACATGCTAGTCTTAAGCACTTGTCCAGGATTTATATCAAACTGTGCAAGGAAGGATGTGCCAGAAAATCTCTGGGTGGTTTATGATTACACACTTCTTCCTATTCCTAATCTTCAGTCTTTGTTTGCATAATGTAAAGCTGATGTATGGCATACTATATGTGGAAGATTTGGGGTCTGATGCATTGGGGAGTTCTTCTTGGCAAGCCTTATTAATGGACGTCCTTGTGAGGCTGCCATTCATATCAATGGGACTCGTACCACACAACATCCTGGAATACTGTGTCCATAATGACCAGCTGCTCTTCCTCTTCTTCATTTACATCCATTTGGATGTTTAAAAACTATGAGCCCCATAAAATTGTTTTGTGAGATTGTGTGTGCTCCAAACCTTCTAAAGTTGCAGATATGATTAGCCTGATAATTTTTGGTATCCACTTCTTTGGGTTTTGTACAAATATTCAAGTGATGGTCTCATTTAGTCTCCCATTCTGTGTCTGCCATTACCAATAAATAACAACAATTGAATGGGAACTCTTAATGTTGGTTATTCTAAAGTGTGTCTATGGCCCAAACTGCTACCTTTCGGCAAAGACTGAAATGCAGTGGAAATGGCTGTTCTATTCTCCCTGCTATTCTCTAGCAAGCCAGATATGTATCACATCATCTCAAAGCAAATTACTATATACTTTTTCTTTCTTTTCCTTGCACTGGAGAAAAAGCAGGATAGTTTTATTGAGTTCAATAGAATTCGGAAAAACAG